GCGCCTTAGCTGGTTGAGCTATAGGTGCCGAGCCACTAGGGCTTATTTTCAAGGGATGTCTTCCTCTCCGTTCCGAAATGGGTAGCGTGGCTATGCAGATATGCTGGATAGCCATGCCCATCACTAGGTCTTATTATTGGGGTAGGGATTATATTTAACAAATGCGTAGAGATCCTGCTAGGGCATATATTTTGGGTGGGTCTTATTTTCGGGGAAACACGGTAATGAGTTATTATTCACTTGGGAGCCTGGAGAGGGGCTGCTGATTAGGCTCATACAGCTGGGTGGCAGGGGCAGTGGCAGCTGGAATAAGGGTGAAACACTAGGGCAGGAAGGGAGTGAGGAAGAGCGTGGGTTTCTCACTTCCTCCCAGACCTGAGAGACAAAGACGTGACTGCCAGGGCAGCAGCAATTCCCCCACCAAAGCACTAAAGCCAGGCACAGCCGGAGGCCTCTGTCTCTACCCACCTGTTAGGGCTCCCTGCCGTGATGTCCCTGGTGGCCTTAGGGCCCCCAAGGACTCAGCCAGCAGCACACATTCTCTCCAGCATCCAGGAAAGACTGAGAGGCTTCTGAGCTGCCTGGAGACAAAACCGAACTGGGGACGTGGTCACTGAGAACAGCTCTGAGAGAGCTCGCAGCCGGAATGGCCAGCTGAGTGCAGCCCCACACCCCTGGCACAGGGAACCCATCCATGAGGATGTTGGGGCACCTTGGTCTGGCTGGCCCAACCCCCTAGTCTACTCTAGGCTTGGCTGGGAGCCTGCTAGGAAGATGCATGTCCCCAAGGGCAAAAGGAAAGGATTAGCTTTGATCCAAGCTCTTCAAATGTTTTGTTTTGTTTTTCCTGCAGATTTCCTCAACCAAAACATGAAGTGACTCTATAAAATAGGTTGACCTTTGTAGGTTGGTAAGAACTCAGCATCCAAGTCCCCCTTCTCCAGATGGTCCCTAAGGCATGTCCATAGGGCCCAGGACACCAAGGAGGCCATCTATAAGCTATCAGTGTTCCAGAGGGGCCCTTCCCATTTCTCATTATCCTGCCAAGGGATGGGGGTGGGTGCCTGCAGGGGGACAAGGGCTCAGGAGCATCCCGTTCAGCTGTGGGCCCAGAAACACCTTTAATGATGGCAAGCCCCATGAATCCAGTGCTTAGGTGCTGAGCATTCTGCTACGAGCTTTCAAATCACCTCATTTTATTCTGATGACAGTCCTATACTGTAGACATGAGCAGAGAGGTTATGTTGTTTTCTGGTTCACAGAGGAGGGCTGTGGCAAGATAGGAATTGGGAAGTGAAACTCCTAGTCTAGACTTAAAGCTCTTAGCTTTAAGGACAAGCAGCTCTGCCCTGACCAAGCATCCCTGGCCTGTAGCACACAGGGCTGCCTGGACACTGGTTCCAAGCCTGGAAGAGCCACAGGAAGGTGGGAGGAATAATCAGATGATAATGACAGGCTGACAGGAAGCACCAGTCAGTGAAAAATGGAGGGAGTAAAAGGGATGCATGGAGATGGAGACTGGAGAATAGAAGTGAGGGGCTTGAGTTTGAATCCCACCTCCTCCTTCCTAGCTGTGTGATCCTCAGCAGCTGAATGAACCTCTCTGGTCACTTCATATCATAGGAGTTTGTTATGAAGATTAAGTGTGAAAAGCAAGAGTTGTCTGCCACAGCCATCACATTCCACCACCCCATGCTAGAACTCTCCTGGAATTTCCACAGAGTCTTGGGATGGAGAGAGTGGCCAACTCCAGAATGCCCCGTGGGCTCCTCTGTGATGCTGGATAGGAGGCCTCCTCTGCTCCCTAGGCTCAAGGGCATGAAGGGCTTGCCTCTCCCATGCAGGAGATGGCACCTGACCCACACCTGTGGGGCTGCAGGGACTTGCCCCGTTCTCCCAAATCCTCAGTCTGTGCCCCTCCCTGGGCCCTCAGGCCAACCCAGCTTGGGTTTTTGTCCTGTCAGGATTTCCACTTGCTTCTCTCACTCAAGCACCACTTTGGCTTTGGTGGGCTGGGACTGCTGAGACCAAGCTTGAACCAGAGGTGGCAGGCAGGCCTGGGGCTGAGTCCTGACTGTAGCACTCTTTTTGACCTCGGGCAAACCACCAAAACCCTCTGAGTCTCCAGTTCCCCCTCTGCTGGCCAAGGGTGAAGGGGAGGAGTAAATGAGACCACTGGAGGGAAGCATCTGATGAGGCATCTGGCACGTGGTGGTGAGGGAGGCCACAACACTGATTAGCTCAGATTATCAGCCTCAGCAAAGCCAAGGGTGGCACAGAGCCCAGAAGGGCAGCTGGGAAGTTACAAGATGAGCACTTGCTACTAAATGTCATGAAGCTCCTCAAACACACCAAGCACTCCTGCCTCAGGGCCTTTGCACCTGCTGTTTCCGATGCCTGTACTCCTTTCCCCCAGATATGCACATGACTGACTTTAACAGGCCTTTCCTGAGCACCCTATTAAAAAATACCAGATCCTGGGCGGCGCCTGTGGCTCAGCAGGTAGGGCGCCAGCCCCATATGCTGAGGTTCGAACCCGGCCCCAGCCAAACTGCAACAAAAAAATAGCCAGGTGTTGTGGTGGGCGCCTATAGTCCCAACTACTTGGGAGGCTGAGGCAAGGGAATAGCCTAAGCCCAGGAGTTGGAGGTTGCTGTGAGCTGTGATGTCATAGTACTCTACTGAGGGCAATAGAGTGAGACTCTGTCTCAAAAAAAAAAAAAAAAAACCAGATCCTGGCTGGGCATGATGGCTAAAGCCCATAATCCTAGCATTCTTGGAGGCCGAGGCAGGTGGACTGCCTGAGCTCACAGGTTCAGAGACCAGCCTGAGCCAGAGCAAGACCTTGTCTCTAAAAATAGCCAGGTGTTGTGGCAGGAGCCTATAGTCCCAGCTACTTGGGAAGCTGAGGCAAGAGAATCGCTTGAGCCCGAGAGTTTGAGTTTGCTGTGAGCTATGACACCACAGCATATCCAGGGTGACAAAGTGAGACTCTGTCTCAAAAAAAAAAAACCCAAAACAAAACTGATCCTTGCTCCAACGTGCCCTGCCTCCCTTCCCTGCCTTATTTTTCTCCTTAGCACCTCTCACCCTCTGATGTGCCATTGACTTTTTTTTTTTTTTTTTTTTTTTT